TACGGAGACTTGCCACGGTCTCCAACCCTGCTCCTTTCTCATCCGGGCTTGGGACCGGCCATGGCGGAGTGATTTTTATGACCTTATCAGACTAAACTGGGGTCTCTGTGCCAACTTGATCACGTGCCCAGGCCATCAGAATTGTAATTTATCGATCTGGATATGAAGTGGCATAGAGGCAGAGGCGGTCCTTCGAATGGATGCAGTAAATTAGATTTCATTTTCGACTGAGAAAAAAGTTTTTAATGAAATATTTATTCGCATCAGTGTCTGATCTGCGAAAAACGGTAACGGTTGGAAAGAGCTTTTGAAGCTGATGTTTATGCAGCCCAATAAGAGCAGAAGGCAAACATATGGCTGAAACATGAAACAGTTTTCCATTCACCTTATTTTGATTTCGGAAAGCTGTTTTTTGCCAAGATAGCTGAATCCGGCGACGAAATCCAATCAAGCATTGACGTTTCCCTATTGCTGGGGATCAAGCGCAACTAAGTGCGAAGATTATTTAATATTGTATGTCTTTTGTGCTTGTTTAATTGGGTTTGAGTGTTTAGTCAGACGTTTGCTTGCATTTGGGGCTGGATTAACTTCTCAGGAATATAGGAAAGATAGGTACGTGTAAAGATTTTTTTACCATGACGAGGAAATTGTACAGTCGACAAGGTGTATACGTACTAGGTTGAAGATACTGCATATATCTCATGTCATGATTATAAAATTTTGGCAGAGCCAGTGATGCCGATGACGTCAAACCTGTAAATAAAAAGGAATATTGAGCCCAAACTCATGGATTAACATATCCGATACTAAGAATTATCTCCTTCCGCTCTTTCTACGTTTGAGGCGCCGGTTGTTCCTGATAAGTAACTGATGAATAACCCTGAACATTATACAGGAATAATCTGTTTTTAGTTAGAACGTCAGTGTTCCTTCACGTTCATTTTCATGAAGTTGATAGGACGGTGCTAATTGTTGTTTCTGTATCAGTAGCCAGTAACGTCTTATTTTTAAAGGCAGGGTCTACATCCATGTGGTAAGCAGAGCGTGTGGTCTCCTGTTTCCTTCCCAGAGTGTGTTACTTATTTATCAACCCCGGTGAGTAAGCTCGACCCGGTCTTCACCTCAGGACCTGCTGGTTCTGAGTTCGATGCTCTACCAACTGAGCAGTCCCGGTCTGAAAGAATATGTGGTCAGTTCCTTGCTAGGGAGTTCTTGAATAAGATAAATAGTGCCATAGTGCGGAATCGAATCCAGCGTCTCCGGTACTGGAAGCTGATTTTTAGACAGCTGTGATAACACCTGTCAAGAAGACCTAATCATGAAGTCGGATAAGATAAAGGTAATGTCCTCAATAAAATTGGACAGTAAAATATTTTCCGTCAAAACAGTAAAAGATAGACTGAATGAAAGACAAAACACAGGCAACTAGAAAGGGAGGAGTAACACAGGTAGATACAAACGTAAGTCACTGATTCAAGTGTGATGGAATGTTGTTTGGAAAATTGGCATTGAAATTGTACAAATATTCTGCCCTCTGAATAGGTGATAATACTTATTTTGTTCTGTGCGACATCCCACTTCCTCCGCTTTCTGCAAGCTGGTGCGGTGACGACTTGAAAGAAATATGCTGCAATAGATTTTACCTTTAAATCGAGAAGAACGTTCTAACTTCCCCATTTTTGTATTTATTGGCGGCTGTTTTCTCAAACTTCTTTTTTTGGTAGATGGTAACGAAAACAAAAAAGATTTTCGTCGGTGGATTGTCTGCTTCAACAACCCTCGACGATATGAAGAACTACTTCGAACAGTTCGGCAAGGTAAATTCTTGTTCCTCATGGGAAACTAACCATAATCTGCCTATTAGATATATATTATAAATTCTCTGTTTATATTGTCTGTATTTTTAAAAATAGTGTTGTTCCAATGCCAATTTACAGGGAGTACAGAAATTGGTTGTGAAATTTATTGACGTTTATTGTTTACATTTATTATAGTTTACATACCATTGTCGCATTTAGACTTAAATATTACTATTTTCATATTTAAAGAGTTTGCGGATCAGTATTGAGCCTTGGGTATGATGAAGATCCGGAATCTTCTTTATGAATGTGGTGAGCTGCATGTTGTTTACCGGAATTGTAGAAGTTTAATTGCATAAAATTGCGTTGAAATTGTGTCGAATTATGGTTAGAGAGAAGCACAAAGCGCAAGCAGAATACAGTAACTAGTGACTTCAGCAGTTCAAGGGTGAAAACATTCATTAGCAAGTATTATGACGTAGCAGATATTGAGCAAGTCTTGTTAAGTTTCTTCCTACCTGTCTTTCATTTTGCTCTGTTCATTCGATTGTGATGGCTTCTAGACCTTTCTCATCTTGTTTTCTTTCTGAACTGTCCTGCTTCATATCTCACTGTTTGACCTAATTCCAAAGTACCTGTGTTTTGCTACGGCCGTAGTGCTTCACCCAGTTTTCTCAATACAGCTGTCTCCAAGTATTCACGCGGTACACGATTCTTAGCTAAGCATAAATTTATTACTTATCCAAACTTTATTTAATTCCTTTTTACTATTCTATTTCTCTCTCTTTCTTCCTCTTCTCCTTTCTGCCTTTGTTCTCAGTCGAATATCGTATTTTTACATGTGAAAGCCGATAAGTTCGGCTAAAACCTAATCCTTTACCTCGCTTTATGTTGTGTTTGTTCATAAATAACTTTTTCTACAGACAAGTCGTTTTGAACTTTTACAAAAGTTCAGAATTCAGCGTGTTGTTTACAGCAGAAATCGCTTTAGTCTCGTTATTAATTGGATGTTGGTTATGGATCTTAGGCGAAACGATTGTTCGGAAGAACATGCATCTAACTGAACTCCGGCGTCTCCAAGAAACCTGTGTTCATACAGGCATTTTACAAGGCGTTTAAATGTAGTAAAGTTTTAAAGATCAAAAAGTCTCTATTTACTCCGCTATTCGACAGTAGTAAGGGTCTTTCTTATTAGAAATGAAGTCTTCAGAAAGTGGATTCAAAATATAGCCAAGAATCTGGAGATGGAGATACCAGCACATTCGAATGATGTCATTTTTGCTCTGTTTTGACCATATGATTCTTGTTCTCCATATATTAATGGATCTTCCATATAACAGTGGAGTAATTCTAGCAGACAAAAGTTGTGTTTATGATGACGGAAAGCGGTAACTAAAGGTCGACAATAGCGTGGTCATATCAAGCAGATTTTTAATATTAAATATTCTGAATCATCGTAGCAGAGGGTAAGCTAAACCTTAACACGATGCTTAAGGACTTCAAGTTGATCTGCATTCCCCTTCTCACCTGTGGCAGTTAATCGCAGTGACGTTAACTTTCAAAACACAATCATCTGTACAAATGGTCGATGTGAGCTACCTTAGACGAATTTGTTTGGCTCAGGTCTTGAAGCAGGAAGCAAGTTTAGAACACCGAATATTTTCTTTTCAGTACTTATACTCCACGTGGAAAGACTCGCACAGAGGATAGGCTATTTTCGGTTTAAACAGTTTCATTTGTAATCAAGAGCTTGATTTACAGTGCGATGGCATGCAGGATTCATGCATGAATGGTTGCACATTCGACGCGGTGCGAATCTGTTGTATTCAGAATTATAGCAGTTGTCCTCAGAAGGATCTTCCTCCGCCATCGGATTGTTTTCAACCAACATTTGCCTCATCTGCTTACATAGCGTACTATTCCTTTCATATTGTACAGCTGCAGCTTCGGGAGGGTATTCATTTACCCGTGTTATTAACCATTTGGGTTGTTTTCACGGAGCAGATTGCTTTAAGATTCTGTGATGTCGTATGTTACACAGCTCAGGCCACTTCCCAGCCATGCCCTGACTCATGAAAAAATTCCATCATGTGAATCTATCTTTTTATATCTCGGCCATGTTCCGCAAGAGAAGCAGAGGCTAAACATTACATCATGGAACGCATTGCTGGACCGGTTTGAATCAACGCGAAAACACCGACTCTTTTTCGTACCGCACGATGTTTGGTTCAGACTGGAAAGGCATCACTTCTTGGTTGTTATCTGCTCTAACGACGTACACAGCAGATAAGGACAGCTCACTCATGTCAGAACAATTAGTAATATCCTTGTTTGCGTAACTTTCGTCTTTAGTCGTATTTCCTTGCAAAGCTTTCAGACGAAAAGGCCCGAACGGATCACATCTTTATTGAGAAGCTGCTTTTTGCTAAAGTAATTTATACAAATCTATATACGGATCGAGTTATACCCTGATTGCTCAGTCGATAGGGCTCAGAGCCGGTAGGTCCTGAGTTGAAACTCCAGTCTGACTTACTCAACTCATCCTTCTTCCCGAGGTTGATAAACGAATACCACCCTGTGGGATAGAAATGAAAGCTACACGCTACGCTTGCCACATGTTATTGACGCTGCCTTAAAAAGTAAGGCAATCCTGGCTGATGGCATAGAAGTGGAAACCGCAACCGCACCATTCATTAACTTCATGAAAGAAGGGAACAGAAATGGCCTATTTGTTAAAATGAAGGAAGGCCGACGTTCCAACGTTTACCAAAAATCAACTTTTTTAAAGTTTCAAATGATATCATTCTAAACGATTTGATCACCTGTCTAGAAGACAGAAATATGATGCTTGAGGACGCTTTCTTTTGGAACGGTTATTTATGGTGCGTTAGCACTACCTCCGGGTCCACCAGGCAGGACCTTAACCGGAACTAATACTGTAGAATGGACAGTTTAAGCTCTAACATCGTTGTTTTGTCATGACATCGGAATTTAACTGTGATATGATTTTAAAGTCACCCTGCAAGCTATCAGTCACTGTTCCACAGAGCTACCAAATCGGTAAATGTTTTTCTTCACCACCTTGTATCTGGCGTAGTCGCGGAAGTGGCCAAAAGCATTTTCTGAAAAATCGTCAATGCGAAGATTGACATTTGCTCTTTAAAGTCTTTTAAGTTTTTGTGCTGACTTTGAACGCGGTAGAGACTCGTTGCATGGCGTTCAAGCATTGCTTCAGACTCGTTCAACTTGCCAGAAAACCAGAATGATGCACCGAGGGTTCCACGTACGACTGACAATCAGCTCTTGGGAAATGATAAATCTGACAACTTATGTAAAGCTGGTACCAAGTTCACGGTTTAGAAGGCTAATCCCAATTTTGCACATTCATGAACTCACCAGTAAACCATTATTCTTTGAACTGGTACACGGTGTAAACAGTTCGAGGTCATCAGATGGAAATGAGCACATGAATTGGTCAGGTAAGGAGAAGAATGCAGGTCAATCTGTGAAGATTTGTAAATATTTGAGCGGCCATGCGAAACTGTTCGTTTTTAGGTTTGTTTAGGGGTACTGCCTTGGTTGAGGTGGTTTTTGTGGGACATTGATTGAAAGAATGCGATCGAGTAAAGCGGATAAAATGTGAAGGTTTCTTGGGATGAGCTTAGAAACGTTGCAGCCAGAGCTGCCGTAACATTGAGCCATTGTTGATTCAGATTAGTAATTTAGAGTTGCACCGGTTTTGACATGCAGTCAGTGATATCTTCGCCAGGCAGCACTGACAGTGGTTAGTGACTGAAAGAAGGAATATCTCTATTTGAGGAACAGCCTACATCTTCGTGCCTTCGAATCCATGTTGAGTTCATTCGCGTGGCCGAGTGCAATATGCCAATCCTCTTGAAACTACTCATCCCGCGGAAGAAGTTACCGACGTCGAAAATGAAGGAATGAATGCAGTAATCAATGGATGAGTACGTGTGGAATGTGACTGCGTAGTGCCCTGTCACGGAGTCTCGAGGAACTTGAAAGTTAGTACGACACGTTGCTGAGCGTTGGATCGCCAGCAGCATTTTCGTCAAGCTTTAGGATTTTCAGAAGAACCATAAGGTGCTTTCTCTCCGACAGTAGATGGAACGAGTTGAAGGACTACAAAAGCTACTAGAACTAATTAATGGAAAGGAAACATGGGTTTACACGCTACCACATAGCTGATGTGGACTCTGTCTTTGAAATAGGGTATTCCTTCCTGATGGCATCGAAATGGAGATTTACGCCCAACCGCAGACTTGAAGAAATATAGGGCAACAGAAATGACTCTATAATGAACGTTTAAGGAAAACTATTGCATCGGTTACAAACTCTTTTTATTTCCCAGTTTGTGCATGTAAATCGCATAAGTAGTCTAAAAAACCAACTGTTTTGATTCTTGATCACTGAAAAGTTTTTTCTAAAATTAACGGCGGAAATTCTTTTGCACTAGGAAACCATAAAGGTTGAGTACTTGATTTGGGCAACTGGAACTGGATGACAGGCATTTGTCTATAAGTCTGCAAGAGGTTCATATTCGAAAAGGAATTAAGGTCAGCTGATAAACTCAATAATTTGGCAATTTTTACTAGGCTTATTTTCATTTTTTTCCAAAAGGAATTCCTTTGCTTTTGTCTTTCTAATATTACAGTTGTTTCGTTTTCATGACCCATTGGACGTGGGAGTATGTTATGGTAATGTCTTTCCGAAAACTTACGACTAGTATTTGTTTTCGGATGCTGTTGTTGCTTTTTATATTTGGTTTCATTAATAAATTTGAATGACTTTAAACTCTGGTAATATTTAGCATACTTTTTGTGATTTAGATCGAAGATGCCATGCTCATGTTCGATAAATCAACAAATCGACACAGAGGTAACAGTTTTTGCATTTCGTTCATTTCTGGTACTGCTGTTTATTTTAAACGCAACGATAAATTTCTGCAGATTTATTTATTCTTCTTGCATGATAATGGGTTAATTTTACTCCAAACTCGCGGATTTAAGGTTGCTAACTCGACGCAAGACATGAAAAATTCATGTATTTCAGTATGCATATTTTTGGCGTATGATCATCTGAAATGTTAGATGCTATATTTTGTAATGGGTTGGATTGGGTTGGTTTGAGTATCAGTCTGGTCTCGGTATTCTTCCTGTTTTCTGGCGAAGGCCATTTGCTCTGCCGTCACTTCGTGCATCGGTGATTTAAGCAAGTTTTTAGTGCATTCAATTTTATTTGCTATCGCGCAGAGGCAAAAAAAATACAGTTGGGAAAAGCGATTTACCGATCACAGAATCTACAGTTTGTTGCTGGACTGTTTGAACTAAAAGAATTCGGTAAACAAATGAACTAATTGCAAAACCTGTGGACAAACGAACCTACGAACCTACAAATGAAATCACTAAGCGCGTCGTTCAGTATTACCTCCAGTACAGAACTACAGAAGCTATTAGAGACATCGCCGAAAAGAACAGCGTCATTTGGCCAAGTTAGACTAAGGATGTTCAACATCACTGGGAATTTGATCAACGCGACTGATGCTGAGATTATACACTCCCAGTACGGTTTCATAAGTACAGTAGCCAATAACGTCCTCTATGACGTCAGAATGGATAGCTCAGTAGCAAGTATGATATTTAGTATTTTCCATCACGTAACAGTAATCAGATGATTACCTAACATTACATCTCCATTCTAGGCCCTCATTAAGATTTACCGTTGGCCAGACACTTTACTAGTTAGTCTAAAACATGCCAGTGCATTTTTGTACTG